ATCGCGTACGGATCCGTTTGTTCATCATTCGCGGTCGGATCGGATACGGAGTTCGCGAACGGACAGAATACGGAGAAGCCCGCAATAATATGCTGTGTTTTGCTGGAAACGGTTCGCGTACGGTCCGCATACGATTCCTATTTCAACCGCGCGCAAACACGGAGAGTCCGTAACGGATTGTTCGCGAATCACCTGTGGTCAAAAAGTTTAAAAATACACTCGTTTCAGACCGTGTCTAGGAATTACCATCAAGCACATTCAGGTAATTGACGACAATCGCAAAGTCACGCGCGAAACTGAAATGCAAGGAAGACGAACATGAACCAAGAAAACTTGAAAACATACTTGTAAAATTCCGGGCCTGAGGAAAATTTCAAGGCCCGGGCCCGGCCCAGAAGGCCCGGTAGCAAAAATTTTGTCATTTTGAACCGAATTTTGAGCTCTCAATACAATTTTTTCTTTTTTTTTGTGCTTTTTGGATTGTTTGATCAAAAAATATCAAAAAAAAACTCGAAAATTTTTTTGATCGAAAAAAATCACATAAGGGTCCCCCCTTATGTGATTTTTTCCGTTTTTTGAAATTTTCAAAACTTGTGGAATGACTGGCCCGTCGGACCGGGCCGGGCTCGGGCCGGGCCTCCGAAATTCGGGAAAAAGCCCGGCCCGTTACAAGTATGCTTAAAAAGGCGAAAAACCATTGTCCGTGGAAATTAGCAGAAATCAAACGTTTCAGTGAGCACCACTAGTTTAGCTAATTTAGGCGTAACTGACTATAAGAAAACTAATTTTGCTGAAATTCATATTTTTAGATTTAGTAACAAGTCGTAAATAACACAGTGTTACTCAAAGTGTTGAGTGGCCCACAAAATTTGGTTGGAATCTAAAATATATGCAAACCTCACAGACAGGAATCTGCACGACAGCAAAGTTGGGAAATGCCTACAAACGCGCAGTGTGATTATTACCCTCAAACTGTTCTACCTCTTTCACACCCCTCTTGGCAACTACCATAGTTCGAAGACCTTTTGTAAAAGAATCCCAAGTTAAACTGGAAAAGCACCCCACCACTCCGAACCAAAAAAAAAAGAGTGTATGTGTGCAGTGCATCTCTCTTATGTGTGACGTTCTCCTCTCTGAATTTATACTCTCGGCGCTTGTTTCGGGGTCGTTCTCGTCATTCTCGTCGTCGATACGGGCGGCGGGACGAACGAGCGGGAGGGAAACGAAACGGCGCAAAAATAGAAAAAGCGCACGGGACCGGGCACCGGGGGCAACAGAAGAACAGCATGGTGTATTAGAAAAACTCATAAGGCGACGAGGAGTGGGGAACCAAAGGGAGCGAGGAGGAGAGGGGGGGGGGGGGGGGCGGCGTAACATGAAGGTGTTTATAATTAAAAGTAGCGGTGTTTGTTTATAATGGAACAAGAAGACTGCAAAATGTGCAGCCACCCCTATACTTGCACTTCGACCTCAAGAGATATCAAAAGTCATGTTATCAGTTGACTAATTCTTGGTATCTCTTCTGAGAACCGAGATAATTGAGCACAACATACAAGCACACTAAAAACCGAGCGCCAAACGATTTAATCAGTCATGCCGTGCTTGCACTGTGAGCTCAATTATCTCGATTTTTGTAAGAGATATTAAAACTATGTCAACTGATAAAATTTGGTGATATATTTTATCAAATGACTAGAGTGCTGAGCCGACTCGAAAATCGACACAATCGACATTCAACAATTCGACAAGGCTATTTGTCGATTAAAATCGAACTTTTTGTTGTCGATTTTTGTCGATTTTGCGTCGACGAAAATCGACAAAAATCGACGAAAAATCGACTTTTTCGGAATTCAATTGAACTTGTGGTGGCGTAGAAAACTCAACTAGCACCGCTTTGAAATGACCTAAAACATGCCAGGTGAATATTTGACCATTTTTAGACCCAAAAAAGGTGGTGGCCTAGAAAACTCAACTTGCAAAAGTTAGGCCATCATGTCAAAATGATCTAGAAAACACACCAGGGGTCATGTTAGGGCATTTTTAGGTCATTGTGAAGTGGTGGCCTAGAAAACCAAATTTGTAAAAGTTAGGCCACATTTCAAAATAGAGCACACTGACAGTTTCAAACAGGCAAAACAACAAAAAATAGACAGTATCTAGGTCACCGGCCGTGTAATCCTCTCGGACATTAAAGTCGATTTTTGTCGATTTTTTGTCGATTTTTCGTCGATTAAAAAACGACAAAAATCGACTTTTCAAAAGTCAATTTTTGTCGATTCATTTCGATTTTGAGTCGATTCAAAATCGACAAAAATCGACATTTGTCGATTTTCACTTTCATCGACTTTTGGAAAGTCGAGTTTTGATCGAGTCGACGAAATCGACACCGATTTTCGTCGATTTTCGTCAATTTTTGTCGATTGTCAACAATCGACACAACACACTACAAATGACTCAATTTGGAAGTCTCTTGTGGGATCCGAGATAATTGAGCATAACACACGCGCACTGAATCAGAAGAACAAGAAATAGCACCAAGCAATTTTGCGTTTTGGAGTCTTCGTTACATTAAACCTGACATTCTCACCACAATTGTACTTTTTTGACGTCGTTAACGCACAAAAATCTTTTTCCCCACAAATAAAATGTTATATATAATCCGCTACATAAAAAAAGAGTCAGAACCACCACTCGGTGCCAGGTCATGGGATTCCTGAGAGCATGTTCTTTTTCTTATCGAAACGAAAAATGTTTTTCTGGGCTAAATCGAAAAAAAAAGTTTATATACACTGCAATCAACTCTAAAAGTTTTACACACACACACACACACACAAAACTTTTGTAACAAAAAACTGGAGAGGAGTTTTGGGGTCACTTTACAGCTGGTGTGTCTTTAAGATTTTATAAGGAAAACTTTCCTATAGGTTGTTATCGAGGTGAGAAATCTAAAATGAAATGAAGTGAACCTGGAAAAAAGTTCAAACGTTTCGTTCTCAATAAACTTTTGAGATCAGAAAACACTTGGCAACATGCCAATTTTCCCGTTTTGATAGATTTGTAATTATATAGAATTATAGAGCCGAGTCTGCTTGAGAGAGGCACACACGGGAATTGAAACTAGCACATTGAAACAATAATCAAAGCTTTGAGAGAGATTGAAATAATTGAAAAAAAGGTTGAAGGCGGAAATTGTTCGTTTCCCATGAGAACCTTATCAATTGGAGGAAAAGTGTATTCTGATCACCCAAAGCCTAACAGGGGTGGTGGTGTTTATTGAAGCGAAAATTGTGAGCTATGAGAAGGGATTAAACATTTGTGGAGTTTTGTTATTATTCAAATGATGGTGAAAATCGTCGGTTTCTTTGAGAGTTTACAAAATCGCCCCTTTTCACCGAAAATGTACGCTCACACGATACGTACGCTTTGAGCTCAATTATCTCGCTTACTATCAGAGATATCGCAATTGTGTAGACTGATAAAATGATGGTGATAAGATGATAAACATTTTATCAGTTAACAGATTCTTTGTATCTTTTATGACAACCGAGATAATTGAGCTCAAAGTTCACATATAGGATGATGTTAGAGCATTTTGGCATATGTATTCCTTGGGTTTGGTCCAGCCCATTCATAATATTTTGGAAACGCTTTGTGTTATAAAATCAGGAAAAATTTGAAATGATGAAAAATAAATGTTTATAATCTGCTAACGAATCCGTTTCTGTTTTTATTATCTCTCACAATTCGTAAACTCAAAAAGACAATTCTCAATAAGACCCCAACTTTCTTAGGATCGACTATGACTATTATGTATCCTTCAAAAGCGCTGAAAATTCGCTTCAAAACGGTGTAGTTTTCATTCATTTTGGTCAATGTTAACGCAAGTTATGCGCCTTTAAAGATAACCGACGTTTAGAGAGACGCAGACAGCGAGAGCACTCTCGCTTCTCTGCGTCTCTCCTCAGGACTTTAAGTCGCTGTATCTCATCATTACCGGTGTCTATTAATTTTACAATGTTGCAAAGTTTTCATCGAAGTATCTCAATTTTACAGTGCTACACAGTTATATTTCTATTGCAAGTGTACAAGTATGGTTGCTTGTCATCCACAGAACTCAGCTGACCCCAAACGGTGGTATATAGCTCAGTCTGCTCTTTATCACATACTTGCGGACGAGCCCAAAGCGGGCCGTGGCGGGCCCTGTCATAGTTTCTTTTAGGGTTGATATTTTTTGACCAACTAAATCAGATATGGTAGAACTCGACGAGCACTACAAAATGATAGTATTTGAGACACTGTATCATATTTGTGAACAAAGTTACAAGCCAAAAAGCTGCAAATGTTAATTAGAATTTTTAAAAAGTTTTCTAGCTATTTTCAAAGATTCTTTCTCGATTTTCCGGTTTTTGTTTTGTCTGAAATTTGATGGAACGGTGTTCGTGAAGATTACTGCAGGTTACTGTAGATAACTTGTTTCCTTCTGTACTTTTTTTTGCAAACACTTTCCCGTCAAAACGCAGAAAAAACTAATTTTTTAAACAGTTAACTCTCTCAATGAACTCTACAGTAATCTACAGAAATCTTCACGAACACCGTCCTGTAAAATTTCAGACAAAAATTCGAAAAAAATCGAAAAAGAATCTCAAAAATAGCCTAAAATCTAAAAAGGTCTATAAATTTCTTGAAAAATCGAAGAAAAAAATCATTCATTCTTTCGAAAAAGCGCAAAAAAAAACGGTATTTT